CATTGGATCACAAGTTGCCAGAAGAGGTATGGAGCGGAAAAGAAGTAAAACTCTCAGATCTTAGAGTTTTCGGGTGTGTAGCATATGTGCACATCAGTGATCAAGGTAGAAACAAACTTGATCCAAAATCAAAGAAATGCACTTTCCTTGGCTATGGTGAAGATGAGTTTGGCTACCGTTTATGGGATGATGAAACCAAAAAGATGATCCGCAGCAGAGATGTCATCTTTAATGAAAGAGTGATGTACAAGGACCGGCATAACACAAGTGCCAGCAACTCAGAAGCGAGTGGGCCAGTTTATGCAGAGGTGGAAGATATTCCAGACATTCCTATAATAAGGAATCCCCGGTCAGAGGAATCCAATGAAGATGACGGTGAGCAATCAGAACCTTCTACTCCAACTCCTGTATTGAGAAGGTCCTCTAGGCCCCATGTACCTAATAGGAGATACATGGACTACATGTTGTTGACCGATGGAGGAGAACCTGAAGATTATAAGGAGGCTTGTCAAACCCCGGATGCTAGCAAGTGGGAGCTTGCCATGAAGGACGAGATGAAGTCCTTGATCTCAAATCAAACATGGGAACTAGTCAAGTTACCCGTGGGAAAGAAAGCACTTCACAACAAATGGGTGTATCGAGTGAAGGAAGATCATGATGGTTCCAGGAGATATAAAGCCCGACTGGTTGTCAAAGGATTTCATCAGAAAGAAGGAGTTGACTATACTGAAATCTTTGCTCCAGTTGTAAAGCTCAATACTATCAGGACTGTGTTAAGTATTGTGGCCAGTGAAGAGCTCTACCTAGAGCAATTAGACGTGAAGACTGCATTTCTTCACGGAGACCTAGATGAGGAGATCTATATACACCAGCCTGAAGGTTTTTCAGAAGGAAAGAAGGATATAGTGTGCAGATTGAAGAAGAGCTTGTACGGCCTGAAACAAGCTCCAAGACAATGGTATAAGAAGTTTGAGAGCTTCATGCACAAGGAAGGATTCCAGAAGTGCAATACTGATCACTGTTGCTTCTTCAAGAAATATGAGTCCAGCTATATCATATTGCTACTTTATGTCGATGACATGTTAGTAGCAGGATCAAATATGATAGACATCAGAAATTTAAAAATGCAGTTGTCAAAAGAATTTGACATGAAGGACTTAGGCCCAGCGAAGAAGATTCTTGGAATGCAAATCACGAGAGATAAGCAAAAGAGAGTTTTGCAGTTATCTCAGGCAGAGTACATCAACCGTGTTTTGCAGAGATTTAACATAGACAAGGCCAAACCAGTCAGTACACCTTTGGCCAGCCATTTTCGTTTATCCAAGGATCAGTCTCCTCAAACAAAAGAAGAAGAAGAGTTCATGACTAAGATTCCTTATGCTTCAGCCATTGGAAGGTTGATGTACGCGATGGTCTGTACGAGGCCAGACATTGGCCATGCAGTGGGAGTTGTGAGCAGGTTTATGTCAAAACCAGGAAAAGCTCACTGGGAAGCAGTCAAATGGATTTTGAGATATCTACGAGGCACAACAGAAAAATGTCTGTACTTTAGAAAGGGAGATCTAAAGTTACAGGGCTACGTAGATGCAGACTTTGGAGGTGGAGTTGATCACCGAAGAAGCACCACCGGTTATGTTTTCACTGTCGGGACTACAACTGTTAGTTGGATGTCGCGGATACAAAAGATTGTTGCTCTATCCACTACAGAAGCT